GGCTACAGGGTTTTTGTGAACTCACACCAACTTACTCTCAGGTCTTTTGACTTTCCGAGGTTTCGCAGCGAAAGATTTGTGTTCACGATACAAACTCATGCTGTGCTCCCAGATTACTTGTCGAAATAGCAGCACAACATTTCTCAGAAGTGTCAAGCCTGTAGACAACCACTAGGACCAGGGGTCCCCACTGTGCAGAGTACAATTGCGAGAAGGGTCCCTTTATTGTTCGAAGAAGGCGTGGGGGTATAACAATGTCGGCGCTTACTGTGTATTCACCCGAGTGGGAGAGCATTTCATCATACGCGGCAAGTGCGGGAAGCAGCGAGGTCCAAAACGAGGAGACCAAGGGTAAGGAGGCTAGCAAGGACAAGAACGAGGAAGGTCCTTCGCACCGTCGGGTAGACTTTGTATATCACAGAGGCTGATGATGCCAAGCCTACTGGCACCAACACGAAATAAAATAGAGGCGAGGGAAGGATGGTCCCCCGCAACGGTTTCAAAAAGGTTGTTAAAGAAGGCTGTGTTCATTGTTGGTCGGGGTTGGCGATGAAAAGGTTGGTAAAAGGGGAGGAGCTGCTGATACTCAAAAAAATGAATTAAAAAAATCTAGCATGTAAGGACGGCAGGGACCAGAGATAAACTTGTCAAGTTTTTTTTTAAGTTCAGTTCTCATTCAGCATGTCAAGAAGCACTGCGTGATGTGAAAAGTTCCAAACACCCCAACTGGCTCGTTGTGTTCTTCCACAAGTTCAAAAAGAGAATTGCGCAGTCCGGTGCACTGGTTTTCGTCCTGGTTGCATGTCCTGAGACCTCTTCTCTAATGAAACAAAAAAAAAGCTCAAGGAGGAAAAAGAGACCAACTAGGGATTCCCCCAGTAAGATGAGTGAACAGGGAAAAGCCCAAAAAATCGATAGTTTTCTATAGGAATTATAGTCTCACGAAGTGCAACCAAAAAGTGCTACGAGACATCTGACCGCAAAAAGTCAGACAAAAATTCCACCAAGTTCGGTAATTACTCAATTTTTCGTATCAAAGGGCCATTCCCAGATTGGACGCTTGAATATGTTCGTCAGTAATCTCACGTTGTTGTGAAGAAGTCCTGGTTCTTATTTTGCAGATGAACTTGGGATGGGGAGTTCAATTAATTGTTACGCATCACTAGAAGGTGGACTCACAATAAAACATGGGAACAAAATGTGTCTTTTACAAAAGACACATTGAGTCTGAAAAAATTAATAAAACAAATAGCGCTTGTTGAATTAGTCGCCTATCAGAACGTTGGTGGACTGGACTTCTCTATCCTCAACGAATTTATCTTTGTCCCATGCTGCGTCCATAAATGGGTCTTCTGGGTCGTTGAGGGAGGGAGGATTCATATATGACGCAAGTGCTGCTCCTGTTACTGCGATGGCGAGTAGCCCACCTGCAGCAGCTCCCACAATAATACCGGTCAAATCTTTACTTGTGTTTTGCTCTGTTGAAGTCGACGTTTCAAAACGGCGTCGTCGTTGATGCAGCAGTGGCTGTTGTTGTGATCGTTGCAGTGGTTGTCGTGGTTGTTGTTGTTGTTGTTGGTCATTGTTGTGGTTGTTGTTGTTGTTGTCGTGGTTGTTGTCGTTGTTGTTGTGGTGGTCGTTGTTGTTGTGGTGGTCGTTGTTGTTGTTGTCGTTGTTGTCGTTGTCGTTGTTGTCGTTGTTGTTGTTGTCGTTTTTGTTGTTGTGGTCGTTGTTGTTGTTGTCGTTGTTGTTGTTGTCGTTTTTTGTTGTTGTGGTCGTTGTTGTTGTTGTTGTTGTCGTTGTGGCCATTGCTGTCGTGGTTGTTATTAAATCGCAGGGATCGAAACCTGAAATTGAACCATGCTTGTAAGAAAAAACAAGGAAATCGAAAAACACTCTCACACTCGGCATCTTCTTTCTCCAAGCATTGCTGCTCGCTGAAGTCGAAGTACCGGCCATTCCCGCAAGTGAGAACTTCCACTTTGAAATGATTCAAAACAATAAATTACACTTGGTGCAATCCTCGAGATGCGGATGAAAAACAGACCACTTCCCCGGGACAACGCTCGTTTTCGGGGTCGTAAGCGAATGAGGGGCAACAGCAACCCAAAAAAAGGAAAGAGGAAAAAATGAATTGAATGCTTCGCATCGTATTAAAAAAAGGGATCAACCGTAGAAAAAAATCAGTTGGTTACTAACTGGAAACTGAAAAGGGGGCGGAACTACGAATCCATGGAATCCCTTTGATGGCAAATATTCAGCAATTGCCGAACTTGGTGAATTGTCTGTCTGGCTTTGATCATTGACTCATGGGTTAAAGTCGGACAATTTGAAGAAAACATAACGAGCCAATTATGCGTTTCGTTTCATGGACTTCTGAGGAATGTTGCTATCGATAAGCAATCTGGGAGCACAGCAATCCAGGTTCACACTGTGACTTTGTATAGCGTTTCGTGAACACAAATCTTTCGCTAGGGATGCTAAACCTCATGGGAAGTTACAGCATCCAGGTTCACACTGTTTGTTTGCGTTTCGTGAACACAAATCTTTCGCTAGGATGCTAAACCTCATGGAATTTCCCCAAAGTAAAAAAAGCAAGTTTGTGTGGGTTCACCAAACCCTGTAGCCCTTGACGTGCCCCGATTTCACCCTCTTCGCGTATCAAAAACTGTACAGATTGAACAGCCGGGGGAAGCAACATCCAACATCCTCAGTCCTGGAAGGTCTTTCGCGCATTCCTTTGCGGGTCTCTGTATTACGGAGTCCTCGCTTTCTGATTTCCAGTCCGAAGGATGTTCTTCTTGGAAATCCAGACCCTCCGTCTCCGACTCCCCCGACATCCTCCTCGTGGTCCTCCTTTCTTGACCGCTGCTGCACTACCCCCAGTCACCCCTAAGTCCGCTCTATCGTCACTCAACCAACAACATCCAATCCCCATTGTCACGTCGACGCCCGTGCCGCTCCAACGGCTGGAGGACAGTTGGAACGAAAAAACAGGTTCATGGAGCCGTTGTCACTACCAGTGCCTGGTGCTGATATCAGTCAGTGACATGCAGGTTGGAGGGCGGATCTCGAGACGAGATCCGGCATAACAGCTAGCTTGAAGCCCCGGTTGCACTGCACAAACGCATCCCCCCATAGTCCGACCGACCCAAAACTAGCTTGCCTTTTTCGTTTTCCTCATACACCACCACGAACAGACACAACCTTTTTTTCTGAACGTCTTTCGCACTGAGAATGACATCAAGTGAGGCTGAGCTGCACTTCACGGGACCCATGTATACACTTTGCATGCACATGGAAGTGAGACGTCGAGACAAGCTGGCCGCCTAGGCCAACAACTTTCACTCTACGGTACAGATGGTCTGAAAGCATGCTGGAACATCCGCAATATCAAACTCACACCTGTAATCGCTTCTTTACGTTTTTCTTCCGCGTTTAGGTAACGCGTAAACTTTAGAGCAGCAGATAATGACACTGGAATCTGCACAAACACAGCAGATAGCAGTTGGAGCACTGGCTGCTGGTGTAACAGCGCAGCTCAACCAGCAGTTTGTAAGATGCTCATTATTCAAACATCTGGCAATTTGTTTGTTTCATCAGAAATTTAAGCAAGATTGACGATTTGATGGAACCCAAGTCCTTTGTCAAGGGAACACCTTAGCAGACGATGTACGTTCAAGTGTATTCCATAACAGTTTGCGATCCAAAAACAAGCCTTTTTTCATTCCAGAAAGAGTTGCCTGGCGGAACTTCATGAAATCGAAGTTAAGTCAGATGAGTTCTTCTGTTGCGCTTGTCGATGCGACCCCCGCCCCCTCCAAGGGGCTCCGGGAGTCTCAATTCAACTCCCCAGAGGCAGAAGCACACTATTCAGCCTGGGACGTGTAGGTGAGTCCTCGTACTTTCCCCATTCCTCTATTTAGGACGTTTTTTGCTTCAGTGACGCCAGCATCGCCATCTCCCCAGGTCTGTCGAATTTCAGATGAGTCATCCAAAGATTTTCTTTAGTTTTCAGATGAAGAACAACTCCGCCAACTCTTGAAGAAAATTTCATGAATCTGAGGGAACTCTGGGTGTCATCAGTAAGGTGCGCATAGAATGAGTTTGTTCACCACGTTGACATTCTGATTCAGGTCACATTAAAAATGAGGACCAATTCCTCCGGTTTTTTGAAGTCGCATACGTTCCATTCCCATCCGTTTAATCTGCTTTCTAATGCGGTCATTGAGATTCTTCAAAATTCAATTCAGGTGAATTTCCTTCAGTTGAGTGAAACGCCGTGGGGATCCCAAGCAAGATCTGGGACAGAAATAATGAAAGAAAAGAGAGGCTCATCCCAAGACAAAACACAGATTGCACCTCGTGAGACTACAATTCGATTTTCAGGTTGGAGCAATTGAAATTTTGCGATCCTGTGATTATCACTGCAATGAATTACTTTTCTGGAGTCTGAATCGCCACTTCTGTTGTTCAAAATTTTCTGATCGTTCATTAATTCAAGTGCAAGAAGACATTAAGGTTTGTTGTTGTGTGAGTGTTTGGGCTATTGGGTGCACACGCGGTTAGGGAGAGTTGGGCAAAGCATGACAGCGGGAAATTGAGCAAGTTCGAAAATGAGAAAGGTTTCATCAGTACTCTCTGTCTTCGTGGTGATGATGGTGGTGATGGTAGTTGGGGTGCTGAAGGGCGAACCAAAAAATCAGTGCATGATAAAGCGTGAAAAGCACTTACATGGCTATCCCTATGGTAAAAGTCATCTCTGCGATTGAACTCATCTCTGCGGTTGAAAGTCATCTCTGGGGTTGAAGTCATCTCTGGGGTTGAAGTCATCTCTGGGGTTGAAGTCATCTCTGGGGTTGAAGTCATCTCTGGGGTTGAAGTCATCTCTGGGGTTGAAGTCATCTCTGGGGTTGAAGTCATCTCTGGGGTGTTGAAAGTCATCTCTGGGGTGTTGAAGTCATCTCTGGGGTGTTGAAGTCATCTCTGGGGTGTTGAAGTCATCTCTGGGGTGTTGAAGTCATCTCTGGGGTTGAAGTCATCTCTGGGGTGTTGAAGTCATCTCTGGGGTTGAAGTCATCTCTGGGGTTGAAGTCATCTCTGGGGTTGAAGTCATCTCTGGGGTTGAAGTCATCTCTGGGGTTGAAGTTCATCTCTGGGGTTGAAGTCATCTCTGGGGTTGAAGTCATCTCTGGGGTTGAAGTCATCTCTGGGGTTGAAGTCATCTCTGGGGTTGAAGTCATCTCTGGGGTTGAAGTCATCTCTGGGGTTGAAGTCATCTCTGGGGTTGAAGTCATCTCTGGGGTTGAAGTCATCTCTGGGGTTGAAGTCATCTCTGGGGTTGAAGTCATCTCTGGGGTTGAAGTCATCTCTGGGGTTGAAGTCATCTCTGGGGTTGAAGTCATCTCTGGGGTGTTGAAGTCATCTCTGGGGTTGAAGTCATCTCTGGGGTTGAAGTCATCTCTGGGGTTGAAGTCATCTCTGGGGTTGAAGTCATCTCTGGGGGTTGAAGTCATCTCTGGGGTTGAAGTCATCTCTGGGGTTGAAGTCATCTCTGGGGTTGAAAGTTCATCTCTGGGGTTGAAGTCATCTCTGGGGTTGAAGTCATCTCTGGGGTTGAAGTCATCTCTGGGGTGTTGAAGTCATCTCTGGGGTTGAAGTCATCTCTGGGGTTGAAGTCATCTCTGGGGTTGAAGTCATCTCTGGGGTGTTGAAGTCATCTCTGGGGTTGAAGTCATCTCTGGGGTTGAAGTCATCTCTGGGGTTGAAGTCATCTCTGGGGTGTTGAAGTCATCTCTGGGGTTGAAGTCATCTCTGGGGTTGAAGTCATCTCTGGGGTTGAAGTCATCTCTGGGGGTGTTGAAGTCATCTCTGGGGTTGAAGTCATCTCTGGGGTTTGAAGTCATCTCTGGGGTTGAAGTCATCTCTGGGGTTGAAGTCATCTCTGGGGTTGAAGTCATCTCTGGGGTTGAAGTCATCTCTGGGGTTGAAGTCATCTCTGGGGTTGAAGTCATCTCTGGGGTTGAAGTCATCTCTGGGGTTGAAGTCATCTCTGGGGTTGAAGTCATCTCTGGGGTTGAAGTCAATCTCTGGGGTTGAAGTCATCTCTGGGGTTGAAGTCATCTCTGGGGTTGAAGTCATCTCTGGGGTTGAAGTCATCTCTGGGGTGTTGAAGTCATCTCTGGGGGTGTTGAAGTCATCTCTGGGGGTTGAAACTCATCTCTGGGGTTGAAGTCATCTCTGCGATTGAGCTCATCTCTGCGGTTGAAGTCATCTCTGGGGTTGAAGTCATCTCTGGGGTTGAAGTCATCTCTGGGGTTGAAGTCATCTCTGGGGTTTGAAGTCAATCTCTGGGGTTGAAGTCATCTCTGGGGTTGAAGTCATCTCTGGGGTTGAAGTCATCTCTGGGGTTGAAGTCATCTCTGGGGTTGAAGTCATCTCTGGGGTTGAAGTCATCTCTGGGGTTTGAAGTCATCTCTGGGGTTGAAGTCATCTCTGGGGTTGAAGTCATCTCTGGGGTTGAAGTCATCTCTGGGGTTGAAGTCATCTCTGGGGTGTTGAAGTCATCTCTGGGGTGTTGAAGTCATCTCTGGGGTTGAAGTCATCTCTGGGGTGTTGAAGTCATCTCTGGGGTGTTGAAGTCATCTCTGCGGTTTGAAGCCATCCCTCCGATTGAACTCATCTCTGGGGTTAAAACGTCCCTTCCCTCAAATTCTCTATCCGACCGAAGGCGATTTGGGGAACCGTATTAGCCATCGCGGAAATCTCTCTCCCTGGGATACCGGCCGCCATATTCATTATTTCGGGTGCTCTGATCAAATTCCCGCTCTCCCCCCACCGAAAACCTGTACGAAATACTAAAGATGCAATAAGTGCAAAAGTGGAGGTTCCCCTTCGTGGGTAGACGAGACGACAAATTTCCAAAACATGCACCTGGATTTTTCGAGAAGGGGCGAACAGAACAAACTTTTCAAAAAAGTCTGAAACGGTTTCTAATTCGTATTCAAAAATAATCGAAGGAGTTGGTAAAGGTGGTAAGTAATATTCTCTACGTATTTTGTTTTGAAATAGCCCTTTTATCTAGTTTTGGAACCGGAATTGGCGGAAAAACTGGAAGCAAAGGTGAGGTGTAGCTGGTGAGCGTTAGCTGGATCTTTGCTTGCTTCCACCACTTCATAGGCAAAAACTGGCGCAGGCAAAGGAAAGAAGGCTCCGATTTCTAGGGCATCACGTGCCAGTCTTCAATTTTCCAGTGGGCCGTATTCATCGAATGCTGAAAGCTCGCATTTCCAGCTGACGGAAGAGTTGGATCATCAACAGTAGCTGTCTATGCTGGAATATTTAACTGCTGAAGTCTTGGAGCTTGCTGGAAAACGCGTCCAAGGATCTGAAAGTCAAACGTATCACTCCCGCGTCATTTGCATCTCGTTATCAGAGGTGGGTTCATTTTTCCAAATTTTGACAAATTTGTTTCTGCCAGGTGATGAGGAATTGGGACACTTTAATTAAAGCTACAATTGCTGGAGGAGGGGTTATTCCTCACATTCACAAGTCATTGATGAAACAAGACGCCAGCAAAGCCAAAAGTTTCCGCTTCCCAAACCAACAGTTTCAACTCCCCTCAGGCCAGATGCCTCCGAAATATATTTTATATAGTTTGTCCAAGTAGCCGGAGTTGAATTGTTTGTTGCTCATGCCGTCATCTATTCAATTGTATTGTGTACTTTACTTTGCATACAAAGGCAAAACTCATCATGGAAATTTTTTAACACAGGCTGCGTTTCAATTTTTGCGGCTTTCTTGGAAAGTCAAAAAACTTTCCCTGGATTCAAGATTCCTCTAGGATGCAGAACAGATTTGGTTTTTTCTCATTACGTCAACTGTGTCTGTCCCACGCTCCAAGAATTTCTTTTTTCCATAACCAATTCCATGCTCGCCAGTACAAGTTCCCCCCATAGCGAGTGCGTTGCAACAAACCCAACACGATAGCCTTTCCTTTTAGCCCCGCAGACGTCTTATTCAAACGAAATGATGGTGTATTTGTCTGAGCACATTGATTTTCACAATTACCATAAATTCATTTAATCTCTCAGCTTCTTTCATTTCTTTTGAATCATTTGGATCAATCATCAACCAGACATGGAAATTTCCTATTTGCAAATGACCCTCAATACAACATGATCATCACCAGCTACAATCTCCTACATGTCCTGCAAATTCAATTTTTTCACAACCAATCAGCTCCAAACTATTTGCCTCACCAACAATCGGTCCATAAACGTCCGATTTCTCTACTTCTCGCTTGGTTAATGAAATCAATTCTCCCAGCCTCGATATTGGGGACAGCGACGTCAGTTGCTCTCAGGCGTTTCGTAGGACGTTGAGCTTAGAATCTACAAACCAGATTGGCGTCTAATTTTCGTCAAATTTCCGTAGCGCACCAAGGCAAGGACATTTGAGAGAATAACCATGATGATGAAATCCATCGGCGTTTGAGGAATGAATTTTTGCGGTTTTTTTCGGCAGCAACAGGATCACGGAGGAGGAGATGGGTGAAAAATGGCGTCAGTCCGAAATGACGAGGCACTGCAAGAAACAGATAATGAGATGGCACCGACGGAATTGAGCCTCACCCAGCATGGCACCCTCGTAGCATCTTCGAACTCTTGAAGAAACTTTGCACTAAAAAATGACGGCGCGGACTCTTGTAGATTCAATCTCATGATAAAAGAAGTCAGACTCCGCATCAAATTTCGCCATCACTGATCGACCACTGCAATAGAAAAAAAAAAGAAGTAGGGACTTCTTACGCTGCATTGGTAGTCTGTTGCTTCCCTCAATCATCAGACAGCGAAGAAGCTCTCGCCCGATTTTTACATTTAAATCAAAACAATTGGTGTCTCTGTTGTTTCTATGAGGAGGTAACAGAGAAACCAACGAATCGAAACTGGGTTTACACATTTGGTTTCCAACAAAGAAAAAAAATAAACAAAATTGTTCAATCTGTAATTG